GGGGGGGGGGGGGGGGGGAGGCAGAGGGAGGGTCGTTGGCAGAGGGAGGGTCGTTTGGAGGTGCCGGTATACCCTCAGATCAAAGGGTTCTCTAGTATTCTGTTACAAAATTATACTTAGTTTATTGTATTTAAAATGTCTATGCTATTTTACAGGCCCCTGATAACACAGGGTAGTACAATGTACATGTAGTATATGAAACTGATTCCCCAACCGAGAGGGTCCGACATTAGTGTATCCTATAGCTAGAAAAAGCCTTTTAAAAGAATTCATTTAGGTTGTGGCTTTGGTATGGAATGGAACCATCTGTAGGATTTACCTACTGTACATAACCCTGCATGTATTTGCAGCTACAGTGTATCTATAGCTACAGTGTATGCACATGTACTAGTACCCACGGTACATACAATGTAATGGAAGAATTGCAATATGTGGACAAGGACTCTCGTTCAACAAAATTTCTCGGTTTCGTCAAAACAATATTTGAAAGCACTTGATTTTATGCTATCTACATGTTAATGAGCAAAAAATACATTGGAAGTCGGATCATACATGTATGTGATAATTATCAAGCTTGAATGTTTTTATACCGCTAGCTTACATGTAGTCTTATTCAATATAAATATTTTAGCAGTTACGTTTAATAATACGACGCTTGATAAGTATCGAGCTAAAGAATCATTGTGCATGTACAGCATATGTGACTCTATCTAAGTACGAAAATTTTCTTATGCGTTAATCGGCTTAATTTCCTTTTCATTAACTGGCATCCCAAAACTTACCATTACCGGTATCCACATTAACTCTTTCACCAACTATCTTCCCGAGAGTTGTCGTTACCATTGGCGTTCCTGTACACAAGGTTTCTGGTATTATTAGCAATAAACAGAAACATACCGCGAAAATGATATCAACCTCCGCCATGGTAGACACTGTGGTGTTGAACTGTGTCTATAGCTTTGTGAAACTCTGTTTGCCAAGCAATGAATCATATAACTGGAGACACCGAAGGGGGTGTATAAAACGACCAATCAGCTGTCAGAAAGGTTGGCATTCACTGGCCCCACTATTACAATGAAAGGAATAAGGGATACTGGAGGAGATCAGCATTGGTAAGAATTGTGCCGGAAGTGTGACGTCAAGTGGTGTAAGACGCGAAGCTGAGTGGTCATTTTTAGCTGGAGGTGAACGGGAGAAAAGACGTGGACTCGGAGAAAAAGCAGTTTTTGAAACAACATGGTAATATAACATTTCTTCTTTAAGCATTTTGGGCAGAGAATACTTGTAGAAATAATAGGCACATGATATGAAAACGTGACATGGAACTTGAAGGTCCAAAATCGTGCTAAATTTGCAGACAACTTGTTTTGAAATACATGCTGCATCGACCGCCAGCGCGACAAAGGGCGTAAAGTAGAAAGGAATTCCCGGGAGGCTATAAATCGTTGTCATGTGGAATTTTGACATATATATATAATCTGATATGTCCATATCTACCGGTAAGTATTTTTTGGGTTTTTTATGGTATGTGCTGCAATTATAAAGATGTTTTAGAGTTCTTGAAGGACCTAGTGAAAACCAGGAAGTGAGTCGTAACTAACAACTGAATCGTACAGATCTACGGCTGCTGTGCAAAGATGTATCTTTTTTTTTAAATATTGTGACGAATTTTTAGATCTTTATATGTCCATCTGACATGAAATTCCACACACATGATCACACTAATACACCTTTTACACCGGGGTAGGCACAAATGCCAAGTGACAAATGCCAAGACAAAGGTGACATTCTGACAGCCTCTTATCTGAGCTATTTTATTTATTCATTAAAAAAAAACGTTTATTTGCCTCCCGGACCAGTATTTATTATAGCTTTCATGTATTTGGTTTGGTTTCCCTTCTTATGGAAAATAATATAAATAAAAACAGATATATAGTAAAACGTATTTCCATTGCTGGCTGTCATCTTTCTCCCGCGGTAACGCCATGCAGGCCTCATGAATGAGAAATGCTAACGCGACCCTTTGGTTTGGGAGCACAAATGCACAAACTAAAGCATCCAGCCACGAATCAAGTATTCCAACGTAAAAATACAGGTACTTTACATAAGCCAAAGATTTTATTACACAAACAATTTGGCCAGTTTCCATCCGGGTCCTTTATTTACGGCCGCAATGCGTTCTCGACAATCTCCCTTTCTTACAGAACGGTCCGAACGGATAAAGGGTTTTTTTTAAATAAATAAATTATTAAATCAATTACACAGACTTTTCGCGTGAAAAATGTATGGGAATGATGTACTAGTATTTTACACTACTTGTATTTCGTATTTTTTTGAAAACGGAATCAAATTATTTTTGTGTGTGTGTTTCATATTTATTTGTCGTTGACCTGTCCAATAACATTATAGTTCTACTTTTTTTTGTTAATGCTTAGGAAATTGTATAAGTGAATTGAACTGTTCTGGGGAGTTTATTCTTTAAAAGTTGTCATGGGGTGGTTGCACATAAAATAAAGAGGTAAAAACTGCACTGTGTCTTTCTTAATAATTACGTTTTACAGTTCATAATAAAACAGAATGAAAGTACCCAATAAAATATTTACAACTATACCACAAAAGAGCAATTGTCTAATTTGAAAACGTTTTTTTTTCATTGTCACTAAGAATATAATTTGAGCTGACAAGTTCCTTGACAAAGTATTCCACAATCATCCAAAAGATCATTTATGAAGTCATTGTTCAAAGAAACTTGTTAAACGCTGGGAAATGGGCTCCGAATATGGTCAATATTCATTTAGCATTTTTCATATGTCGNGGCGGGGTGGGGGGGGAGGCAGAGGGAGGGTCGTTTGGAGGTGCCGGTATACCCTCAGACCAAAGGGTTCTCTAGTATTCTGTTACAAAATTATACTTAGTTTATTGTATTTAAAATGTCTATGCTATTTTACAGGCCCCTGATAACACAGGGTAGTACAATGTACATGTAGTATATGAAACTGATTCCCCAACCGAGAGGGTCCGACATTAGTGTATCCTATAGCTAGAAAAAGCCTTTTAAAAGAATTCATTTAGGTTGTGGCTTTGGTATGGAATGGAACCATCTGTAGGATTTACCTACTGTACATAACCCTGCATGTATTTGCAGCTGCAGTGTATGTATAGCTACAGTGTATGTACATGTACTAGTACCCACGGTACATAATCGAAGAATTGCAATATGTGGACAAGGACTCTCGTTCTACAAAATTTCTCGGTTTCGTCAAAACAATATTTGAAAGCACTTGATTTTATGCTATCTACATGTTAATGAGCAAAAAATACATTGGTAGTCGGATCATACATGTATGTGATAATTATCAAGCTGGAATAATTTTAAACCGCTAGCTTACATGTAGTCTTATTCAATATAAACATTTTAGCAGTTACGTTTAATAATACGACGCTTGATAAGTATCGAGCTAAAGAATCATTGTGCATGTACAGCATATGTGACTCTATCTAAGTACGAAAATTTTCTTATGCGTTAAACGGCTTAATTTCCTTTTCATTAACTGGCATCCCAAAACTTACCATTACCGGTATCCACATTAACTCTATCACCAACTATCTTCCCGAGAGTTGTCGTTACCATTGGCGTTCCTGTACACAAGGTTTCTGGTATTATTAGCAATAAACAGAAACATACCGCGAAAATGATATCAACCTTCGCCATGGTAGACACTGTGATGTTGAACCGTGTCTATAGCTTTGTGAAACTCTGTTTGCCAAGCAATGAATCATATAACTGGAGACTGAGGGAGGTTATAAAACGACCAATCAGCTGTCAGAAAGGGTGGCATTCACTGGCCCCACAACTACAATGAAAGGAATAAGGGGTACTGGAGGAGATCAGCATTGGTAAGAATTGTGCCGGAAGTGTGACGTCAAGTGGTGTAAGACGCGAAGCTGAGTGGTCATTTTTAGTTGGAGGTGAACGGGAGAAAAGACGTGGACTCGGAGAAAAAAGCAGTTTTTGAAACAACATGGTAATATAACATTTCTTCTTTACACATTTTGTGCAGAGAATACTTGTAGAAATAATAGGCACATAAAATGAAAACGTGACACGGAACTTGAAGGTCCAAAATCGTGCTAAATTTGCAGACAACTTGTTTTGAAATGCATGCTGCATCGACCGCCAGCGCGACAAAGGGCGTAAAGTAGAAAGGAATTCCCGGGAGGCTATAAATCGTTGTCATGTGGAATTTTGACATTTATATAATCTGATATGTCCATATCTAAGTATTTTTTGGGATTTTTATGGTATGTGCTGCAATTATAAAGATGTTTTAGAGTTCTTGAAGGACCTAGTGAAAACCAGGAAGTGAGTCGTAACTAACAACTGAATCGCACCAATCTACGGCTGCTGTGCAAAGATGTATCTTTTTTTAAATATTGTGACGAATTTTTAGATCTTTATATGTCCATCTGACATGAAATTCCACACACATGATCACACTAATACACCTTTTACACCGGGGTAGGCACTTATCAGTGACAAATGCCAAGACAAAGGTGACATTCTGACAGCCTCTTATCTGAGCTATTTTATTTGTTTATTTAAAAAGAAAACGTTTATTTGCCTCCCGGACAAGTATTTATTATAGCTTTCATGTATTTTGTTAGGTTTCCCTTCTTGTGGAAAATAATATAAATAAAAGCAGATATATAGTAAAACGTATTTCCATTGCTGGCTGTCATCTTTCTCCCGCGGCAACGCCATGCAGGCCTCATGAATGAGAAATGCTAACGCGACCCTTTGGTTTGGGAGCACAAATGCACAAACTAAAGCATCCAGCCACGAATCAAGTATCCCAACGTAAAAATACTTTACATAAGCCAAAGATTTTATTACACAAACAATTTGGCCAGTTTCTATCAGGGTCCTTTATTTACGGCCGCAATGCGTTCTCGACAATCTCCCGTTCTTACAGAACGGTCCGAACGGATAAAAGGTTTTTTTTTTAATAAATAAATTATTAAATCAATTACACAGACTTTTCGCGTGAAAAATGTATGGGAATGATGTACTAGTATTTTACATTACTTGTATTTCGTATTTTTTGAAAACGGAATCAAATTATTTTTTGTGTGTGTTTCATATTTATTTTGTCGTTGACCTGTCCAATAACATTATAGTTTTACTTTTTTGCATAGGGAATTGTATAAGTGAATTGAACTGTTCTGGGGAGTTTATTCTTTAAAAGTTGTCATGGGGTGGTTGCACATAAAATAAAGAGGTAAAAACTGCACTGTGTCTTTCTTTATAAATTACATTTTACAGTTCATAATAAAACAGAATGAAAGTACCCAATAAAATATTTACATTTATACCACAAAAGAGCAATTGTCTAATATGAAAACGTTTTTTTTCATTGTCACTAAGAAGTATAATTTGAGCTGACAAGTTCCTTGACAAAGTATTCCACAATCATCCAAAAGATCATTTATGAAGTCATTGTTCAAAGAAACTTGTTAAAAGCTGGGAAATGGGCTCCGAATATGGTCAATATTCATTTAGCATTTTTCATATGTTGTTACTGCACAGATAGTTAAGCGTTGAATAGTGGCGAGAGAACCGACACTAAGACTCCGTTTACATGAAAAATCTATTTTCTAAAAATCTATTTTCTATTCGCGGTATCTTGTGATCACTCCGAGCGCAGCCGAGAATTAATTACAGCTTTGGAAGTAACTGGCTCGCGCTGCCAGTAATTACGCCGCGGGGTATTCAGGGCACAGACCGTGATCACAAGATACCGCGAATAGAAAATAGATTTTTAGAAAATAGATTTTTCATGTGAACGAAGCCCAAGATAGTATCGTCACGGATAGACAATCAAACATTGTGATGTAACAATGTTAATCCTTCTTGGACCTTGGAGATTTCCCCATTTTCGAACCTTTTTTCTTGCATTTCTTTCCTTTAGAAGAGAGTGCTCGAGCCTCGTCAGCTTCTTTACCCACTCTCACTATTGCAGGAAGTACCTCGGTCGCAAACAGATACTGGCGCTCCCTATCGAATGTTTCCACGGTGGTGGGCGTGTCCAGGTTCATGAATTGTCTGGAAGACGCTGTATATTCCGGCCACTGGACGGTGACCGGGTCACCAACATTTGGATTACTGAAAGGACAGGAATATCATTAACTTATTTGTAAAACACCTGTTATATACAACATTAAAAATCAAACCAAGGTCTAAATACAGTATATTGATGAGCGAGCCTTAGATACAGTATATACACGTTGCACATTTTCAGTTCAATCTAATTCAAACAAAATATACAGAAATGTAAATATATTTCGAAGTGGATTGCTTGATATAGTTTCACCTTGAAATGAATAGTTTATCAGATATTAAAAATTCATTGTTCCATAATTACCCATTCTTTGCAAAGTTAGCCACGTAGCGTCTGATAGCCCTATTAAGTTCCATTTCCTCAGCAGTCAAACTGTACACGTCCGGGTGTTCCTCAAAAACCCCAAAAAATGGAATAGCTGTATCAAAATGTTCAGCCCGTATAGAAGGCGCCTTAGGAAAGTAAGAAAGTGGATAGCCATAACGGACAGACAGTGTGTATTTGTACGTTGTGGCACCTCCCACTTCGTTCAGCCTCGCCGACTCTTCTGCTGGCATTCCGAAGAGAAAGTCAGTGTTCTGTTGCGTCGCCCGGGTCAGGAGATCCAAAGGATCCATTGGATCCTGTATTAGGCCGTATTCAGTAATCGTCGACCTGGCAAAAGCAATTGCCGCGCTTTCCGTGGTAAATCTATACTCCCCTAAAGCATAGTTTTTAGCTAAATGCAGTTGCCTGGCAACTGTAGGGGGAATCCCCGCAAAGGGTAAGGTATAGATGCTGCCGTCATGGGAGGTGGCGCCAACCATGTATCGAAGCCCGGATGTCACGTTCTGTCTCAAGAGGTCTCGTGGATCTTTTGGAATGAAGTGGCCGTCTATCACTGGCCGCCAGTCAATTCCTTGTTGAGCCAGTAAGGTAGCGTCCATACTGCGGAGGCATCGAAGCATTTTCTGCGGCTTTGACATTCCACATCCGGCACTTTTGGCTTGTTCCAAACTGTAGTTAAGAGACCTGGCTAGAGACCAAGGNAGGGCACAGACCGTGATCACAAGATACCGCGAATAGAAAATAGATTTTTAGAAAATAGATTTTTCATGTGAACGAAGCCCAAGATAGTATCGTCACGGATAGACAATCAAACATTGTGATGTAACAATGTTAATCCTTCTTGGACCTTGGAGATTTCCCCATTTTCGAACCTTTTTTCTTGCATTTCTTTCCTTTAGAAGAGAGTGCTCGAGCCTCGTCAGCTTCTTTACCCACTCTCACTATTGCAGGAAGTACCTCGGTCGCAAACAGATACTGGCGCTCCCTATCGAATGTTTCCACGGTGGTGGGCGTGTCCAGGTTCATGAATTGTCTGGAAGACGCTGTATATTCCGGCCACTGGACGGTGACCGGGTCACCAACATTTGGATCACTGAAAGGACAGGAATATCATTAACTTATTTGTAAAACACCTGTTATATACAACATTAAAAATCAAACCAAGGTCTAAATACAGTATATTGATGAGCGATCCTTAGATACAGTATATATACGTTGTACATTTTCAGTTCAATCTAATTCAAACAAAATATACAGAAATGTAATATATATTTCGAAGTGGATTGCTTGATATAGTTTCGCCTTGAAATGAATAGTTTATCAGATATTAAAAAGTAATTGTTCCATAATTACCCATTCTTTGCAAAGTTAGCCACGTAGCGTCTGATAGCCCTATTAAGTTCCATTTCCTCAGCAGTCAAACTGTACACGTCCGGGTGTTCCTCAAAAACCCCAAAAAATGGAATAGCTGTATCAAAATGTTCAGCCCGTATAGAAGGCGCCTTAGGAAAGTAAGAAAGTGGATAGCCATAACGGACAGACAGTGTGTATTTGTACGTTGTGGCACCTCCCACTTCGTTCAGCCTCGCCGACTCTTCTGCTGGCATTCCGAAGAGAAAGTCAGTGTTCTGTTGCGTCGCCCGGGTCAGGAGATCCAAAGGATCCATTGGATCCTGTATTAGGCCGTATTCAGTAATCGTCGACCTGGCAAAAGCAATTGCCGCGCTTTCCGTGGTAAATCTATACTCCCCTAAAGCATAGTTTTTAGCTAAATGCAGTTGCCTGGCAACTGTAGGGGGAATCCCCGCAAAGGGTAAGGTATAGATGCTGCCGTCATGGGAGGTGGCGCCAACCATGTATCGAAGCCCGGATGTCACGTTCTGTCTCAAGAGGTCTCGTGGATCTTTTGGAATGAAGTGGCCGTCTATCACTGGCCGCCAGTCAATTCCTTGTTGAGCCAGTAAGGTAGCGTCCATACTGCGGAGGCATCGAAGCATTTTCTGCGGCTTTGACATTCCACATCCGGCACTTTTGGCTTGTTCCAAACTGTAGTTAAGAGACCTGGCTAGAGACCAAGGTGCTAAGACTGTTCCACTAGCTGATATCCCTCCCTGTATCAAACCTCGATTCAATGGTGAAATCATCTGAAAATCCACGGAAGCTCCCCCTGCAGAACCGCCGCTTAAAGTTATACGATCAGGGTCTCCGCCAAACGCCTCAGCGTTCTCCCGTACCCATTTAATAGCCGAGTGCTGGTCATACAGGCCGTAATTTCCCCTTGCCTCGTCAGTCCCTGTGCTGAAGAACCCCAGAAACCCCAGCCTATAGTTAGCACTGACTACAATGACGTCACCCTCGAGAGCAAGGATATCCCCGTTGTACGATGCACCAGAGCCCGCAGAAAACCTCCCTCCGTGAATATACATGATGATCGCAAGCGACTCATTCCTCGCTCTCAAAACGTCAACACCACGTGGCACGTACAGGTTCAAAAACAGGCAATCTTCGTCCCGTCTGATGTCGGTGATTGTCTTACCTAGGTGGACGTACGGTAGAAGCCTGCTGTCGAGCTGCGGGCAGTGCGGACCAAATTGTTTGGCCTCTCTCACAGTATCCCCCCATCCGGGATGTGGCTCAGGATTGGCGAACCGAAGTCTTCCCACCGGGGGTTTTACGTACGGTATACCACGAAAGCGGTCCACAATGCCAGAACCTGGGGGAAAAAAGAAGAGTATGAACGGATGGAAGAGCCCGAAGGGGTTGATATAGACACATAATTTCACAAATATCACATCACAAAGTTTTTTTTTTTTTTTTTTTTGTGTGTGTGTGTGTGTATTGGTGTTGCAACTATCGCAACAGTCATAACGCCTAAACGATATTTCAAACAGCTATCATTTTTTGGGTTACCAGAAGTCTGACATCGAGGAGAATTCCTGGGTAGCCCCCTTGTAACTTCTAAAGTGAAGTGTGTGTGTTAGTGTGGAAACAAACCACTGATTGCTTTACAGTGTTAGTGTGCGTGCACGCGTGTGTGTGTGTTTGTTGAAGAGGGCCACGTGATGAAAATGGTGCTAGTTTTTGGTCGTTGAAATATAGTTGTGCATGTTTTTTATCACTATTAATGAAACCGTTCAATTTGTGTTTCTTTAACAGACGACAGAACCGTGGTCACAAATTAAGTTACGTCGGATGTACATTACAGCCGTTATTGTTCAAAGTTGACATATTGCACCTAGAGTATGAGTCCATTCAGGTAGGATACAATGACAAGGTAAATTACGACTGGCTCATTCCAAGTGATTTATTAAGTCACCCAGTAGCTACTCACAAACTGGAATTTTAATTAATGAGCTACCCGGAAGTGACATGGGCTGATAACAGGGTGATGGGGCCTGGGGGGTGTGAGGGAACGTGTTGGCGGAGGGAGGGAGGGAGGGTCGTTTGGAGGTACCAGTATACCACCTGACCAAAGGGTGCGCTAGTAATCCGTTACAGAAAAATTATGCTTAGATTACTGTACTTAAATTTTCTATGCTATTTTACAGGCCCCTGATAACACAGGGCAGTACAATGTACATATAGTATATGATACTGATTCCAAAAGCGAGAGGGTCCAACGTTAATGGATCCTAGAAAAAGCATTTTAAAAGAATGCATTTAGGTTGTGGCTTTGGTATTGCATGGAACCACCATTGCCGGGCTTTTCCTAGATAATCCAGCATACATGTGCAGATACAGTGTATGTACAGCTACTAGTACCCGCGGCACATGATCGAAGAATCATAATATGTTGACAGGGTCTTTCGTTTTACAAAATTTCTCGGTTTCGTCAAAACAATATTTGAAAACAATTGCATTTTTGCTATCTACTGGTACATGTTAATGAGCAAAAATGTTCATTAGCTTAGTTGATGGATTAAACATGTATATGATAATTATTAAACTAGCTGGAATGTTTTTTATACCCCAAGCTTTCATATAGTCTTATTCAATATAAACATTTTAGCAGTTACATTTAATACGATGATTGATAAAAAGTATCGAGCTAAAGAATCATTGTGCATGTACAGCATATGTGACTCTATCTACTACGAAAATTTACTTATGCATTTATCGGTATTTCCTTTGTATTAACTGGCATCCCAAAACTTACCATTACCGGTATCCACATTAACTCTTTCACCCACGATCTTCCCGAGAGTTGTCGTCACCACTGGCGTTTCTGCACACAAGGTTCCTGGTATTATTAGCAATAAACAGAAACATACCGCGAAAATGATATCAACCTCCGCCATGGTAGACACTGTGATGTTGAACCGTGTCTATAGCTTTGTGAAACTCTGTTTGCCAAGCAATGAATCATATAACTGGCGACACCTAGGGTGGTGTATAAAACGACCAATCAGCTGTCAGAAGGGGTGGCATTCACTGGCCCCACTATTACAGTGGAAGGAACTGTAGTTATTTACTACACTACCGATCACGTCAGGAGTCTCCCGACTTGGAGACATGTCTTCCATCCTTCCAGTTCAGATATATTTTCTCTCTCGTTTTGTTGATAAGTGCGGCGACTTCACTCAGGAAATGATATGCCAAATTACAAGGGTCTTTGTGTGAGTAACATCCTGAACACTATGTTAATGTTGACAAGAGGCAATGCTTGTTTCGAAAGGAAACGAGATACCGATCATTTTAAACGCGGGCATTGTTTGTAATAATTGCTTTTAAAATCAGACTTCTTTTGGTAATGTTTTACTGAATACCACCTGACCCAACTAAGAAAGCTGCTTTTATACATTCTCAAGATACATTTTCATCTTTTGCCCGGATTTGGTATAGCTGCGTGCATGAACATCAAAACAGTAGCTTCGCGTTGCATTGTGGGTTAATTTTTAACCCTCTAAGAGAGCATTCTTGGCCAGTTGATTCGCGGATTGACTACACCCACAAGCTACACCCACAGCAGGGGCAAAGCAATTAAATCTCGGCTCATACTTTCATGTTGTTCGCGCCATATTTGATCCCCATACTGGTTTGTCCGAGGATCACTTATGGTCGTATTCAGAACAGTGAACTAAGTAGTCTGCGGGTCAAATATGGCCGACCCACTTGAATACTTCGCCACGGGTAATCTATTCAGTGACTATTAGCGGAAAAGAGGGCACGCTTTTTAGTGGGTCGCCATATTTGACCAGCGCACTAGTTAGCCCACTGTTCTGAATGATGCCTACTTGTAAAAGCTCCCTAAATGACTTGGCGAAGCAGGACGCCTGAGACATGAAGGTTGTGAAATAAGTTCTTAAACGTCGAAAGGTAAATAAGAGTGTAATTGAAAGTTTCAAGAAGAGTTTATACTGTGGCTCGAGCACTAGGCCTACAGTTGAATTTTAAATTTTAAATTTAAATTTTAAAGGANAAATGACATGGGCTGATAACAGGGTGATGGGGCCTGGGGGGTGTGAGGGAACGTGTTGGCGGAGGGAGGGAGGGAGGGTCGTTTGGAGGTACCAGTATACCACCTGACCAAAGGGTGCGCTAGTAATCCGTTACAGAAAAATTATGCTTAGATTACTGTACTTAAATTTTCTATGCTATTTTACAGGCCCCTGATAACACAGGGTAGTACAATGTACATGTAGTATATGATACTGATTCAAAAAGCGAGAGGGTCCAACGTTAATGGATCCTAGAAAAGCATTTTAAAAGAATGCATTTAGGTTGTGGCATTGGTATTGCATGGAACCACCATTGCCGGGCTTTTCCTAGATAATCCAGCATACATGTGCAGATACAGTGTATGTACAGCTACTAGTACCCGCGGCACATGATCGAAGAATCATAATATGTTGACAGGGTCTTTCGTTTTACAAAATTTCTCGGTTTCGTCAAAACAATATTTGAAAACAATTGCATTTTTGCTATCTACTGGTACATGTTAATGAGCAAAAATTTTCATTAGCTTAGTTGATGGATTATACATGTATATGATAATTATTAAACTAGCTGGAATGTTTTTTATACCCCAAGCTTTCATATAGTCTTATTCAATACAAACATTTTAGCAGTTACATTTAATACGATGATTGATAAAAAGTATCGAGCTAAAGAATCATTGTGCATGTACAGCATATGTGACTCTATCTACTACGAAAATTTACTTATGCATTTATCGGTTTAATTTCCTTTGTATTAACTGGCATCCCAAAACTTACCATTACCGGTATCCACATTAACTCTTTCACCCACGATCTTCCCGAGAGTTGTCGTCACCACTGGCGTTTCTGCACACAAGGTTTCTGGTAATATTAGCAATAAACAGAAACATACCGCGAAAATGATAACCTCCGCCATGGTAGACACTGTGATGTTGAACCGTGTCTATAGCTTTGTGAAACTCTGTTTGCCAAGCAATGAATCATATAACTGGAGACACCGGGGGAGGTGTATAAAACGACCAATCAGCTGTCAGAAGGGGTGGCATTCACTTTCCCCACTATTACAGTGGAAGGAACTGTAGTTATTTATTACAGTAGTTTGAATTCTAGGCCCGAGATGTCTCCTATCCTTGCGATTCAGATTTTTTTTTCTCTCTCTCGTTTCGTTGATAAGTGCGGTGACTTCACTCAGGAAATGAAATGCCAAATTACAAGGGTCTTTGTGTGAGTAACATCCTGAACACTATGTTAATGTTGACAAGAGACAATGCTTGTTTCGAAAGGAAATGAGATACCGATCATTTTAAACGCGGGCATTGTTTGTAATAATTGCTTTTAAAATCAGACTTCTTTTGGTTATGTTTTACTAAATACCACCTGACCCAACTAATACTCAAGATACATTTTCATCTTTTGCCCAGATTTGGTATAGCTGCGTACATGAACAACAAAACAGTAACTTCGCGTTGCTTTGTGGGTTAATTTTTAACTCTCTAAGAGAGCATTCTTGGCCAGTTGATTCGCGGATTGACTACACCCACAAGCTACACCCACAGCAGGGGCAAAGCAATTAAATCTCGGCTCATACTTTCATGTTGTTCGCACCATATTTAATCCCCATAATGGTTTGTCCGAGGATCACTTATGGTCGTATTCAGAACAGTGAACTAAGTAGTCTGCGGGTCAAATATGGCCGACCCACTTGAATACTTCGCCACGGGTAATCTATTCAGTGACTATTAGCGGAAAAGAGGGCACGCTTTTTAGTGGGTCGCCATATTTGACCAGCGCACTAGTTAGCCCACTGTTCTGAATGATGCCTACTTGTAAAAGCTCCCTAAATGACTTGGCGAAGCAGGACGCCTGGGACATAAAGGTTGTGAAATAAGTTCTTAAACGTCGAAAGGTAAATAAGAGTGTAATTGTAAGTTTCAAGAAGAGTCTAAACTGTGGCTCGAGCACTAGGCCTACAGTTGAATTTTAAAAGAATGTTAAATTTGTATGGTCAGGGAATTATATCTGGTATGGCGTAGGTTGTATATCATCGCTTGTGGAGAAAAACGAAAAACGCAACTCTTTGAAAATCAACAGGCAAAGCGTCGACGCTACAAAAGGAGCTCAAATGCAAAGATTAACTTGTTTTAATTATTGCTTAAACCTGGCTGCTACTGTGACTAAGTTGTATAACAGCTGTTGGATCGGAATTTTTGAAACATTCTTATACTAAAATTTAACTAATTACTTACTTGCCGGTTTGATTTTTTATATTATTTTGTGTATTCAAAATATCTGATTATAGGAAATTTGTAACTCATTTCAAAAGAAAAAATACTGAATATATGTCGAGTTTTTTTATTAAAAGGGTGTTATAAAGTAAGATTCCCCCCTCCCCCCCCCCTCCCCGCCCAAGACAGCCCCCTCCTACCACAACTTCCGGTCCAATCAGGGAATTTTATCCGATATAATTTCATGGTCCAACACACCCTGAACCCTCCCCACTCCGCCCCCCCCCCTCCAAAATTGTATTTGCTGACTACCCGCTATTAATATGCATTTTTTTTAATTGTATTTACAACATTTAAGTTATATCTAAGCCGTAAAATTTTATTGTTTTAAACCAAGCTACAAGAAATGCAGAAAATTATTCAATACATATAATTTCACAGAAAAAATTAAGAAAGATGAAGAAGGGGAAAACAAAAAGCTGCATTATGGGATCTTTGTCTCTTTAACCGTGTAGAACAACTATACTTTCGATGCCAACTTACAACTTAAAATGAAGCCAGTTAAAAACTACCAATACCGGTAAATTAAATTGCAATTTAAGTTTTATAATACCTGACCCATGAAATTATGGCCATCGCCGTGTACATACTTGGATCTGGGCACACCACGTTAACATAAAGTCACTTACATGTAGGCATTGTCATGTTTAAAGCCAAAGCACTGATATACGGCGTTGTTAATTTCTAATAAATAGGCAAATCCACGGTAATATCCAATTATGCACTACGTGGATATACAGTATGTCCGTACAACCCAGGAAACACAAAACGTTAATATAACGTTATCACAACAACAAAAAATAACGATTTGGTAACGTTATAATAACGATCTGTGTTTTCTTGGAAATCAATAATCATGCCTCATTAACCAGTTGAAATACCGACATCTGTGGACCCTGGGTGTCCGATATCTTCTCCTAGAGCATGGTTTGCATTGACCTGGACGTGCGGCCACTATGTCAGGCTCTTTACCCACTGCCACTATAGCCGTAAGAACCTCGGTCGCAAACAGATACTGGCGCTCTCTATCGAATGTTTCCACGGTGGTGGGCGTGTCCAGGTTGATTAATTGTCTGGAAGACGCTGTGTATGCCGGCCATTGGACGCTGACTGGGTCACCAACATTTGGGTCACTGAAAAGACGAGAGTGTTGACTGATTAGCAAAACAATGAAAAACGATATTGAGCATACACGAAAATATATACTGACTTCGTAGTCAAGTCATACTTGACATGGATCCTTTTGTAGAGGGATATTTCATACAAATTAAATTACAGTTGATGGGGCCATTGAACTTAATGGGCATCAACAACTTTTTTATTTCCATTTATAATATCATTAAGATTTCAACTGCAGTAAAATATTTCCGTTTTTAATCGTATGTTACCTGACCCTTACCCATTTTTAGCAAAGTTAGCTATATACCGCCTGATGATTCTTCCAAGTTCCAATTCTTCTGCCGTCAAGTTATATACATCCGGGTGCTGTTCAAAAACACCAAAATACAGAATACGGGTGTCATAATGTTCAGCTCGTACAAAAGTCGATTTAGGTAAGTAAGAAGGTGGATAGCCAAGTCGGACAGATAATTTGTATTTATAAGTCGTGGCACCTCCCGCTGCGTTCATTCTCGCCGACTCCTCTGCTGGCATTCCAAAGAGAATGTCAGTCATTTGTTGCACGGCCCGAGTCAAAATATCCAAAGGATCCATGGGGTCTTGGATGAGACCGTATTCGTGAACCAAGGAC